AGTAGAAAAGTAAAGAATGGCTTGAAATAAATGGTCTCTAACAACCATACCTGATATAATGATTTGAAAATTCATCCAGGATCTCTAAAACTCCCTAAATGCAGCTTTTACCCTAAACTGATGGGAAACAGTCAAGACTCCAAAGCCAAACAGTGCAGCACAGGGCCTGTGTTTGAGGCAGAAGAAAGAGCAAGGGACATCCTCTGTCTATATAGATACTAAGAGCAAGGAAAGAGCCCTATTATTGCTATGCAGCTGAGGGTTTTTATTTGTAATTGTCAAAGGAACTTAACATTTCCAGCCTTTTTAATCTCACAGTACTATCTGCTGCTATTATAAAACCTGCCTCAGTGTCCCCACAGAATTCTTGACTTACTGTCCTCATGGGAATTCACTCTGCTTACTACACACAAAAATAAATTCTCTGGGATGCACTTCACAACACCCGAAACCCAACAGGGAAGCCCTTCTTTCTGTGGCCCCATGGAGATGGGATTGAAACAGTTCTCCCAAGTTACTTTAACTTAAGAGGCCCACTAGCTGCTCAGATCTTCTTTATATTTATGCACTAATCCGGGAAAGGACAAAGGACCATTACTGGAATAGTCTTACTATAGAAAGCTCTTTGGGACTGAATCTCTTAAAAATCACTGGCTCCCTGGAATTAGCCAAAGAACTTTGTTTTCATTTCACCATGGGTAGGTAAGACAGAGCTTCATTGCACCAATACCAATACAGACTCCTTCATATCTACATCAGGCAGCTTTCCCTCTTTAAAGGCGTTACCAGAATAACAAAGTTTAGTTTCGCTTTATCATAAGCAAAGTAGATGAACAGGAAGAGGAAGGTGAAAGGATAAAGCAGCAGGAAACGGTTACTTCCCAGCTTCCGCCTACCTTCTTTTCCCTTCTGTCTTCTCTTCCTTCTCCACTGTCTCCCAGATACATCATTTAGCTATTCTTTCTTTCAGTCAACACACTTTCAATTAAGCCCCTAGTTTGTTTCAGGCACTAAACAAGGTGTTGAAGGTACCCACACAGGTAACTCAGTCCTGTTGGGGGAGACATTTATATACTTACAAAACAAAGAGAGAGACTAATGCAACCATATGAAAGTATGAAAAGGTTGATGAATAGTATTAAATTCAGTTGACTTTCCTAAACTGAATTGGGACAGAGCATTTTATTTTAACTCTCCATGTTTGCCTCCAATTCTCAAAATCATTTAAGGATTTCAGTAGTAACTACATTTTATAGATGAGGAAAATATAGATCATTAAGTGGCAAATATCTTTATTTTTAAATTTTATATTATAAATTTTCAAATATATACAAAAGTTGAGAGTAGACTATAATAAACACCAACATATCCCACTAACAAGAATGAACAATTATCAAGATTTTTCCACATTTCCTTTATCTGTCCCTTTTTTCTTTTTTTTCTTTGATTAAATATTTTACAGCAAACCCGTATCATTTCACCCTTGTATTGGTATACATTTTCTTAAAAATAAGAACAGATTTTTATATAATCACAATGCCAAACCAACAAAGTAAACAATAATTTCTTAGAATCATCTAATAATTTCTCTGAAGTCACTAATCAAATATCTCCACTTTTCTCAAAAAGTCTTTTCATAGTTAGTTTGTTCAGATTAGGATCCAAAGCAGGTCCACACAAACACTTAGTTATTTCCCCCAAGGTCTCCTCCCCGCTCCCCACCTTTTTCCACATCTCGGGTTGTTGCAGAGGTAAATATCTTGTTTACTGGGATATAATTTCCCTTATCAGTCACTCATCCCTCCTCCCAGTCTATGGCAACTATTAATCTACTTTCCGTCTCTGTGAATTTTTCTATTCTGGACATTTCATATAAATGGAGTCATAAAAACAAATGTATTTTGAGCATCTCTCAGGTAAGGTAACGTAGAGAGATATAGGTTAGGTACTAAATACATATATCATATATATTATATATATATATATTTTATATATCTATATTATATATATATATATGAATGACATGGTCTATGTAGGTAACTTAAGATAAACATTCAGTCAAATAAACACCAATACATTATAGTGACCCTATGAATAATACATAATACATGCTTTAAGCTAATGGATTTTATCTTTTCCCTTAGAAATATAAATGGAAGAAATTATATTCATGTGGGTGACACAGTAAGTTACCTACGTGTGACAGAAAGTCCAGTTTTCTGCTGTCACAATTCCCACCATGACCACTGTGAGCTCACCGCAGTGGTGAGGCGGGTGCATGGGGCTCAGTGCCTGTGCTAAACTCCCTGGCTTTCTCTCCCTCTCAGGAGAGAATTCCAGAATGCAAGCCAGAGGAATAGGGGTAACTTGTGTTCTTTTTGTTTTATGTATATTATTCACGCCCTTGAGGACTTGGTGTAGAAGGGAGCAGCACCAAGTTCCTCCTCACTTTCCATTATGGAAAGGAGTCCAGGGAGTAGACCCCAGAACGTGCACATTCTCTAGAATCTGACCGCCTATGCCACATTATCCCTGTATGACCTTCAGCAATGATTCAATCTCTAAGCCTCAGTTTTCCCCATATGACAAATGGAGATGCTATTAAGTATTTTCTTAGTCTGCTTTGAAGATTAAGATTAAACACAAAGCTCTACTAAGAAAATCTGCTTACTAAAATGCTGGCTACTGGCAATAATAATAATAATAATTATTATTACTTCGCTATAACAAATCACCCACAACTCCTCAGAACTGATGGAGCCTCTTTAGCTTGGAGCTCTCAGCTTGTGTGGAAGTGATTGCCAGAAAGGACAAGGTGAAAGTAGCTAAATTCTCCACGTCCTGGCATATTAACATTTAAGGCAATAACAACCTGAACTTTGAGGAGTTGAAAATCAGACAGATAATCAGATTAACTAATGTGCTCCTCGGAGCCTCAAGCTGCCCTACACTTCCCATCCACCCTGTGCAGCTACTTTTGGTCTGAGAGAAGAGTCTAGCTGTTAGAAATCTTCCATCGTCAGCAGTCTTCCCTTTCTGGCACATTGGAGATACAAAAAATTAATAATTCATTAAAGCCAGAAAGGAGCAGGGCAAACTGAGTTGGCAGTGAATATTCTGCCTGTGTGAGGAAGGAAGGATGTTTCAGCCCTCCCTCACGGCGCTAACTGAATGGCCTCTGGAGGCTGCCTCCCCCTCCCCTCCCCTAACCTGTGATACTGTAGAATTTTTCACCCCCTTGGACTTCCCTCACTTGTGTGATTACCACATGCGAAATTAATCATGCCTATTATATTTCTTCACTGTCATAAAATTATTTTTCCCTCACAATAATATAATGGGTTTAGATAATACTCATTAAAAATTAAGTCTCAAGAAAGGAGATTTTAAGTGTCATTCTTAAAAGTGATTCTTTTCGATCACGGTCATATGAGCAGCATACTTCCCCTTCAGTTTCTATCTATTTTTGGTGCTCAAATATAGCACGGGGAAGCAAGGAGGATTTTTACCATCACTTCATTACTGTTTTAGTTTGGGGCTTAGGTCAAACAACACACAACTAGCGCTTCAGAAACTCTGTATGAACTTCAGACATCTACTTCTTAGGAAACATGGAAAACCCCTTAGGAAAACCCCCTCTGCTCCCCGGACACATTTTATCCCGACAATAGGGCTCCAAGGGAGCTCTATTAGGAGGAATTACAAGACTCCTCAAAATTTTTAGGGTGGCATGAGGAAATGGACACAAGCGCCCTGAAGCTCAAAATGAAAGAGCTAATAGTACATATCTTACACAGACCTAGGCTTTACCTTTAGAGAGTGACTTTTCTAAGTTTTAAAACAACTAGCCTGTACCTAGCCCTGGAATAAAGCTCCCCCCAACACTAGCAATGACAATGGAATATTACATAACATTTCAAAGAATTAGGTAGTGACATATATACTGACAAATACATCAAGATGCAGGAGAGTGTGTGCGTGTGTGTTCATATACTTGTTTGTTTTTAAGAGTTTATTTATTTACTTAAAAAGAGGGGAAGGTAGGGAGGAAGAGAAGGAGAGAAACAACGTGAGATAGAAATATCAACTGGTTGCCTCTCTCGTGTGCCGCATCTGGGACCAGGCTCGCAACCCAGGGATGTGCCCTGACCTGGATTCGAGCTTTGACCTTTTGTCTTATGGGACAACGCCCAACCAAGCCACAGGGGCCAGGGCTACTTGTTTGTTTTTAAATAACAAAAACTGAAAGGAAACTGCGAAGTCTTACCACTGGAAGTCTAAGGTATACAATTAAGAGAGTAGGAAGAAAATGAAAAATTCTACTTTTTATTTTATATCCCCCTGAAGAGTCTGAATTTGTAATGAGTTAATGATAAAATAAAGAGAACTGGTAAAAACAAATAACTTTTTAGCAACCTAAGCAATGTCTCTTTATAAACAATTCTCCTTCTTCCATGAATATGCATCAATATACAGGATCCAGCAGAAGTAAGGCCTGCTTGAGTGTGGTTGGTAGGGTAATAACATGGATGCAATAATTTATAGTTTTAATTTGAACATTTCACCTAAAATGTCATATGGTGTGCTTGAGCATGATAATGTTATGTTACAGAATTACATGATTATGACTTTGTAATAAAAAAGGGGCATTATTTGTTCTGGACCCTATACATGAATGGGACAGCCAACTAAATTAGAGGACATGTATTATTCAAGCAGCATTAACTGCTATGTAAGGTGAACAGAAAAACAGATCATCTGAATTTGATTTGCCCACCTGACTGGATCTCCCAGAAAACCTAATACAATAAGTCTGAAAATAAAGGAGAGAATCAAAATCATGCAAGAATAAGAGAAGTCATTTTCTAATTTTTCCTTTGGGCCTAAGAAACAGGAAGGCAGAGTCACAAACAGAAACCTATGCATCTCCTGAAGAAAATATAATTAGGAAGGAAATCTCTTCTTTCACATTTCTTGATAAAAGTATCATTGTTTCTTACCTGATCACAGATCAGTTCCCACTTTTTCTCATTGTCATACTGCCTCAGTAACCTGGCTTTGTCAGGGGGTAGGTTCATAGCATTCTGGGAAGAGAAAAGAAAGAAAGAAAGAGTTATGTCACATTCCACAACAGCCTGCATATGAGTAACTCATGGGCAGACCAAAGAATATTACTGTCCTTCTTTTATGACTTATTTTCAATTTCTAGCATCTCATTAAAGAGAAACACACTGAAGAAGTCATTTAAATATCAAATCAGTTTAATGGAAGGGCAGAGACTCTGAAGTCCTATGCTAGAACATCAAGGTAGTCTTCTTTGAACTACAGACTTGCATTTAATAGTGGGCTCTCATTCTTCTCAACAAAAGGTCAGAAACTGTTGAGAGGGTACTGCCCCACATTCTTTTTAAAACACTGCAGCCCACCAGACACTGAATCATCAAAAGGAAACTCAATGACCAAAACCACTGACAGATAACGTCAACTTTTACTCACTTTGAGAAACACCTATGAGTAAAAGAACAGGTTGTTGCTGTTGTTTTAATGAAAACAACACAACTGGTTTTTTGTCATCTCTGTGAGATGACAGCATATGCTAACATTATGCTGGACATATGTTAACATTAACAACTGCAGTTCTTAGTTTAAGTATATTAGTTTATGAAGTTGAACTTGCAGTGAGAAATTGACTAAACTAAAAGAAATGTCTATACATCAATTCTCACATAGTCCTTCCTTTGTCAACAGAGCACACCTTCTGTAGTGTTAGCCATGGATTTTCCCCAGTACATTCACATATTATTAGCCGATGTCCCAAATAACCCATCATATGCATTTTCAATATACTTGGCTTGGGTTTCAGGTGAGATCTTTAGCTACAGAACACGGCAGAGTGAGAGAGTCCCAGAAAGAAGCCATATCAGTTCCCTTGGCCTCCCTAAATTTCCCATGCTCTAAACAACTGAGGTAAGTAGTCAGTGTCTCGCATCGATTCATTGTCCTGTCTATCCCCTTGTGTCAACATCCTAGATCAGCGATTTTCAACCTTTTTCATCTCATGGCACAAATAAACTAATTACTAAAAGTCTGCCGCATACCAAAAAATACACTTTTTGCTGATCTGACAAAAAACACAGGCATAATTTTGATTCATGCATAGCAGATAGGTATTGTTCTGCTGGCTGTTGTCACTTTTTTATTTGACAAGCAGGGGTGTCCAACCTTTTGGTGTCTCTGGGTCACACTGGAAGAAGAGTTATCTTGGGCCATACATTAAATACACTCCAACACATAATCACAAAAAAATCTCATAATGTTTTAAGTAAGTGTATGATTTTGTGTTGGGCTGCATTCACAGCCATCCTGAGCTGCATTGCGGCCCACGGGCCGCAGGTTGGACACCCCTGAAAGAGGAAAAGAGGTTAGTGCCCCTGACTAAATAGCCAGGTATTGCATGTTTTAAACATTCTTATGGCACACCAGTTGAAAATCGCTGCTCTAGATCATACGTATCTCACAATAAACAATATAGCTCCTGCCTGCATCCTTATTCAAGCAGACAAGTAGGCTTTGAGCTTTTAATGCTCAAGCTAGGGAGCTCTCTCCAAAGAGAGAAGCAATTCCCCTTGCCACAGTACTGTATCATGTCATCCAGTGAGACAAATTTAATAGAGGGAAGGGTCAGTGAGTTACTATGACTTAATAGAGGCAGAGAATTAACCTTTAATGATTTTGACAGATGTAACATAAGCATTTTTCCTTCAACTCCATCTAGCATCCAGATTGAAATGCCTAAGTAGGCGGTAGATACACACCACTACTAATTTGAATCTCACCCATTTGAATCTAACCCATTAAACTGTCTTCAGAATATTAAAATTTTAAATTACCCCCAAAGCTGACAACATAATTAGAAGAGCTTTGGCCTCCAGAGTTTTCAATGGTACTGCCAAGGCTTCCCCATAGAAATGCTAAAATGGGAAAAATATTTCCATAGGGCCCATATCCATAGCATATCTACTTGAACCAGAATGAAAAATATCTACTTGTGTTTATTTGTTATTTTAATCTTACAGTGTTTTGTTTCTGTTTTTGTTTTTTTAAAACACTCCTGGAATAAAGCAAAGGAGAATTCCATGAGTTTCTTTCAGAGGGAGCCCAATGTTATTGGCTATTAAATAACCACTCTATCATTGTTTATTTGCACCCTAGAGATGAATTACTTCCTCTTAAACTGATTTTGACCTCATGTGAGTGCCCCTGGGTATCATTATGCATTAAATAAGAACAGTAAGTTTACGAGGTAAGTTAAATGAGTTTTTCTCTGAGTCCTTATTAATCTCTTGCAAAATAAAGGGGATAAGAAAAAGAATGCCTGAACTACAAGGTGCCAAACACTGTTTGCATACATAATCTCATGGAATCTTCATAACAAGCCCATGGGATAAATATAATTTTCCACATTTTATATATGGGGAAACAGACCTGGGAGAACTTGGTTAATTTGCTCAAGTTTAGACAGTTTTATAAGAGCAAAAATAGGACCTCAACTTAGTCTGTTAGACTCCCAAGGACAAACACTGAAATTGCCACCAAGCTCTGTGTGTGTGTGTGTGTGTGTGTGTGTGTGTGTGCGTGCGCGCGCAAGGCAAAATAGCAAATATCTGACTTACTTTCAGTACTCTACTCAGAACTCATACAGAAGCAGTGTGCAAATCCTGCTATAAATTACACACAGTCTGGTGGTTATTGGAGAAAGCCAAGATTCCCTTTTCCAGATCTACTTTTACTTTTATGAAAGTCTTTCATTCAGCAAATATTTATCAAGCACCACCCTTGTACAAGACATGGCACAGTGCGGAACTGCAGTTATGGTCTCCATGGAGCATCATATGACGGTGGGGAGATAGAGGTGAAACAAACTAATCTTCTTCAACTCAGGTAAGTGTCGATAAAAATGATCAGAGGGCAACTTTAGTTTGGATGATGTGGAAGACCTCTCAGGAAAGAGTAACAATTAAGATGAGTCCTAAGAATGAGAAATGAGTTAGGTGAAGTGTGGACAACAGCATTCTGGGCAAAAGAAACAGGGAAAAGATGCTAAGACAGGAAACAGTTTGGCACTTCAAAGAGCTGAAAGAGAGCAAGCATAACTGGAGAGAAAGTGAAAGGGAAGGAATGGGGAAAATAGAAAGCTTGAGAGGTAAGTCAAGGCTATGTCCTGTCCAGCCATGTAGGCAGGATAAATCCTTTTTATTTTATCTAAAGTGCAATGGGAAGCCATTGAAGGCTTGTAAACATGAGAGGACATAACCAAGTAATGTTTTATAAAATTACTGTAGATGCCATGTGGAGACCTGATTAGAAACAGCAAAAGTGGAAGGACAGAGGCTAGGGCAGTACTTGAAATGAATGATGATGGCTTAGTCAAGGCTGATGGCACATCAAATGAAATAGGGTAGACGGATGTCAGAAAAGTAAATGAAATTGACTGGTTAGACTTAAGAGCTGAGGAAGGATGTCAAGAATTAACACCCTGCTTCTATCTTGATACCTCAAGATAGGTAAATGGTGATCATTTTTGTGAGGGCGGCGTAACAGCAAAAGGTGGCGCAGATCTGGAGCAGGTGGTGAAGAGTAACATTTATAAATGGACCCGTTTAGGTCTGGGATAGCTATGAGGCAGCCAAGAGAGGAGTCAAGCAAGCAGGTAGACACACAATTCCAGAGGCTGAAAGAAAGGGGTATATCCTTCTGAATGAGAAGAATCTTAAGGAGTCTGTGAGCCTGATGATTAGTTCTTGTTGGGAGAAGTTGCTCAACATCAGTACACCAAAACTAATACTATACTGGGTAATGATTCATCTAAAATAACCTGTCCACGGGTCAACCCTCTCTCTGAACTGTTCAGGCATACACTGCACAGCTTAATAATTCTACAGGGACCTCGGGGAAGAAGCTCTATTTAAAATCAGACACTCCACAGAGGCCTAGCTAAAGTTCAGGGATGTTGTTGTTAGTAGGTTATAACTGTCCTTAAACATTTTTAGAGTGAACTCATTCCTTTTGTGCTGCATAGGACAGGACTCTGGAGTCCAAGCTAAATGTTTGTATAGGTAATTGATAGGAATCCAAGCTATTTTCTGAGGAAAACACTGGCTATATCTCTAGTCCCTTTGATGTATAAAAATAAATTTTGCTCACCCAAGCTGGGTTGTTTGGCTGGTTAGAGCATCATCCTAATACACCAAGGTTGTGGGTTCAATCCCCAGTCGGGGCACATACAAGAATCAATCAATGAATGCATAAATAAGTGGTACAACAAAATTGATGCTTCTATCTTCCTCTTTCCCACTTCCTCTTTCTCTCTAAAAAATTTTAAATATTAAAAATTAATATTTAAAAAATAATAAATAAGTAGCTCTTCTATTTGGCTAAAAAATGTACATCAACTTCCAAGTTTTCTAATGACAACTTGACCTCATCTGCACTTTGTGATATCTGTAACATAGAGCTCTTTTTTCCTTCCTTTCATCCATCAGTCCATGCAATACTTATTGGGCTTTGACCATGTGGCAGAATATCTGAAGGCATAAGAGATAATTTAACCATGAAGTAGTGGCATTCAATTACATGCCAAGAGTCCATTGAAGACACACTATTTGAGTTGAGAAGTCTGGTGGATGTTAATTATCTGTCTAGATTGTACCAGTGCCTAGCTAAAATAAATTAGAACACCTAAGAGCATTCTCTCTGTAAGGAATGTCTCTTCCTTTCAACCTGGCAAACTTTTAAGAATCAACTCAAATGTCATTTATCACTGGATTCTTCTCCCAACTACTCCAATGGCACTGTATACATCTCCATTATAGAAACTTGTCCGCTGTACTCTAATAATCTGTTTACCTATCCAAATTCCCCCACTCAGCTAAGTACTTCAAAGACAACTTTTTTGTTAATCTCCATTATCTGGCAAAGCATGTGGAAAACAGTAGGTACTATACAAGTCATTTGAAAAGCAAACTAATCATCATACTCGGCAGCCTAAAAATAATTGCGTTGATTCAGTAGTTATGTTTCAGCT